GGGGGGGGGCTGATCTCCGGTTTTATTGGCAATAATATCCCAGTGGGGGGTGGTGGATGAGGATCCCGGGGACGGGCCGGGATACGCCGGGATACACCGGGATGATGCTGCCGCCGGCCCGGAGCGCTGCAGGGTCCGGTCCCCGGTCGCCGGTCCCCGGCGGGGAGGGGGGGGAGTGTGTGTGTCTGATCTCCGGTTTTATTCTCAATAATCTCCCCCGAGGGAGGGGGGAAGGGGGTTCCCGGGGACCGGAGACCGACCGGGATGCACCGGGAGCGGCAGCGCGCGCACAGGGCGCCCCCTGGCGGCTGCCGGTGGTGATGGTGAGGGACGAGACCGGAACGGAACAAAGACCCCCCCGCCCCGCCATCACCGGGAGGGACCCGAGGCTGGAGCAGGGTACGGCCGGTGTCACCGCCAGCGGGGATGGCCCCGGTGTCCCCAGCCCCGCATCACCCGGGTGGGGACCTTCATCCTCCTCCTCCTCGGGGACCGGGGACCTCGGGGGGGGAGTGGCCGAGGGTCCTCCTCCGTCCCCCGACGTCCCCGGTCCCCAGCGTGTCCCCTCCCGCCGCTGCCAACCTCATCATTTCCAGCACAGCAATTAAAACCCCATTTTAATGAAAAACCACCATTTTCCCCCCATCGCGGGGGGACGACAACGACACGGAAAGTCCTTCGGGGCCCCCCAAAACCCAGGCTGAGGGTTCAGCCCCTCCCAAACGAAGCTGTGAGCTAAATTCTCCTAAATTCTACCTAAAATTCTCCTCTTCCCGCTCCAGCAGACGCAGAGAGGTGTCTGCACCCCTCGAAACGAAGCGTTAATTAATCATTCCCCCTTCTCAGGGTTGGGGGGGGGAACACGACAGATTTTACCAGACAAACAACAGACAAACAACTGTTGGGAGTAAAAAAATATGTTCTTTTTTTTTTTTTTCCTTTTAATTACATCAGTTATCAAAGAAAAACCAAAAAAAAAATCCCAAAAAACCAACAACAACAAAAAAAAAGCAGTGGTAACAAAAATACAAAGCTCTGAGGGTTTTCTCGTTTTGTTTGTTTCGTAATAAGCTCGAGCATCAGTGCAATTGTTTTAATTTAACTTCTGCTCCGAGTCTCTGCTGGCAGAATAGGAGTAGGCTTTGCCCAGCACCAGACGGTCCCGCAGCAGCTTGAAGAAGGCGTAGTAATTGCTGAAGAGGATCAGAGCCAGGGAGATCGTCTGGTGCCACTTCTCGGAAGAAATGAGCGAGTAGAGCTGGTAGAAGATGACGGCTCCTTCCAGCAGAATCAGGATGTTGAGGATTCTCAGCGGTTTGCTGAAAAAGAACTGCAGGAGAGACCCCAATCAGGCACCGAGCAAGGTCAGGCCCTGCAGGTGGTGTTTCTGAGGCAGCAACTGGTGAGGATTCCTCAGGGATTCCCCTCCGGAGACACACTGACCCCTGAACGGAGCCCCTGGTGCCCAGGGGACAGTCACCCCTCTGGCAGCACCCACGGCAAACACGGGACTAACGTGAGACACTGCTCCAACCCCGCTTGTCCCACCGCCCCGGGACACCCCACCGCAGCTCTCCTGCCCCCACAGCCAGCTCAGCTGCTGAGGACAAGGGGACCATGACCCCACAGAATGAACCACAGGATGATACAGGGTTGGAAGGGACCTCTCCCAGAGCCAGCTCAGCTGCTGAGGACAAGGGGATCATGACCCCACAGAATGAATCACAGGATGATACTGGGTTGGAAGGGACCCTGGAGATCATCCAGTCCAACCCCCTGCCAGAGCAGGGCCACCCAGAGCAGGTCCCACAGGAACGTGTCCAGGTGGGGTATGAGTGTCTCCAGAGAAGGAGACTCCACCACCTCCCTGGGCAGCCTCTGCCAGGGCTCTGCCACCCTCAAAGTGAAGAAGTTCCTCCTCATGTTTAGATGGAACTTCTTACATTCAAGTTTGTGCCTCTTTCCTCTTGTCCTGTCCCTGGGCACCACTGAAAAAAGACCAGCCCCATCCTCCTGACGCCCACCCTTTAAGTATTTCTAGGCATTGATCAGAAACCATCACTCAGATCACCCCGCCAAGGTGCCACACGTGGGATCTTACGTGGAATCGGAAGTGCGAGACGTCCGAGGGCACGGCCACGTTGTAGTGACCCACAGCTTTGTAGACGTTCTTGCTGTGTTTCACCAACACTCCCTGTGGCCACATGCACTCTTCTGTCCACCTGTGGGAGACAAGCAGAGAGCTCTGATTTCCACCTCCACAGCCCAAGGGGGGCTGGTGCCTTCCCACCCTCACCAGGACAATGGAGGAGCTGCCTCCCCAGCAGCATCTGCCAGGGCAGTTTGTCCCACCGAGGCGTGTAACCACGGCAGTGACCAGCAGCACATGTCTGGGGCCAGGAGCACGAGGCATCTTGCCAAAAATCAGACCACAGAACCACAGACTAGCAGGGGACAGAAGGGACCTTTGGAGACCATCTCCTCCAACCACCTACCAAAATAGGGTCACCCCAACCAGGTAGCTCAGGATGGTGTCCACGTGGATTTGGAATATCTCCAGAGATGGAGACCCCACACCCTCTCTGGGCAGCCACCAACCAGGTCGCGCAGGATGGTGTCCACGTGGGTTTGGAATATCTCCAGAGATGGAGACCCCACACCCTCTCTGGGCAGCCCGTCCCAGGGCTCTGCCACCCTCAAAGTAAAAATGTCTTTCCTCATGTTCACATGGAACCTCCCGTGTTCCAGCTGGTGACCATTGCCCCTTGTCCTGTCACTGGCTTTCCTCATGTTCACATGGAACTTCCCATGTTCCAGTTGGTGACCATTGCCCCTTGTCCTGTCACTGGACACCACTGAGAAGAGCCTGACCCCATCCCTGGAGGGGTTCAAGGCCAGGTTGGATGGGGCTTGGAGCAACCTGGTGTGGTGGCAGGTGTCCCTGCCCGTGCCAGGGGGGCTGGAACTCGACGATCTTTAAGGTCCCTTCCAACCCAAACCATTCTGTGATTCCACGATCCTCTTGCCACCTGCCCTTTAGATATTGCTCAGCATCGATGAGATCCCCTCTCAGTCTGCTCCTCTCCAGGCCCAAAAGATCTGCTGGCCACGCTCAGAGGTAGCCAGCACAGAGTGTGGGATGTGTCAGCCAACAACTCCGCACTCTGCTCTCATTTTTCTTTAAATTTAAGCACCGAGAGGAGGAGGAGGAGAGGTGGCTGCAAAGCTGAGCTCCCCACCCAGCCTCTGTTCATGCCAGTGAAGAGAAAACTCCAAGCCCCAGCCCCGGGAGGGAGTTTCTTACTGATGCTGGAGCACGTTGGAGCAGAGGGCTGGATCCACCTTCTGCCAGCAGCCCAGGTGCGCCGCGGCTTTGTGGAGCAGGTCGCAGTAACGGGCGGGTAAGAGGTGCTGCATCAGGATCACCGACGTGCTGATGGAAACCAGAAGGAAAAGCTCACACGACCAGCGTTTGTCATAGTACTGAGTGTTCTGTGGGGGGGGACAAGAAGGATGTGTGACGGCGTGTTTGGACAGCCTCACCTCCCAAAGCCATCAAAACACAAAGCGCTCAGGCAGGTACAACGAGGGCTTTTCACGTCGCTATGAATCCTGCCTGGAAAAGAAGCGCCCACATAGGAGGGCTGCTGTGCAGCTCCCTGACACACCACAGAGAAACATTTACATTATTGTCACCCATCACCAAAACCAGGGAGATGGCTCCCGATGCTCCTCAAGCTCAGTTGGTGACGGGTGGGAGCACGAGTCCCTCAGGGGAAGGAGGCTCGGGCTCATCCCCAAGGTCTGGCAGATCTACTACGAGGCATTTGTCTCATTGTACAACATATTGGGAACTTAAACAAAACAAATAAAAATCCTAATAAAAGTCCATCCTCTTTCATACTGTCTCCCTTATTAAATTCAATCCCCTTGTTCTGGAGCTCTGTCCTCACAGAAGGTTGGTGTGTGAGGGGCTGGTCAGCCTGGAGTCCTTTTAGCGTCACGGGGAGGGCGGAGGGAGATGCTGCTCCCTGATGGATACCCACTCTCAGGACAGTCAGAAGACACTTTATCAGGTCAAAATACTGACCTCTGTTAGCCAGAATTTAAGCAAACCTCAACCTGGATGGATTTGCTTCTTACTTTTCACAGGATCTCCATAAATGGGTTTGATAAAGCCACCGGCACACACAGACCAGCCCTGACCAACCTCTCCACGTTCCAGCTGAGCAAGAAGGAGATGCAGATCTCCCCCCTAACCCAGTGTCCACCCCACCACAACCCTCCCTGGCCAGCCCCACGCCTGGAGGAGCAGTGTCTCCAAGAGCAGAGGTGGCCCTGGCTCACCTTCACGAACCAGACGGGCACAAAGGCCACGTAGTAGGCGCTGAGCATGGAGCTCACCAGCACCTCTTTCATCCGCCAGTTGAAGTCCATTTTCAGGTATTCCACCTCGTTGCGGATGAGATCCGGGGAGAGGCAGCAGGCGTGGGTGGGCATGGCCTCCATGCCGTACATCTGGCGTGTGTGCTGCTTCCAGGTCTCCTTCAGCACCGTGAGGTAGTCCCTGCCTCTGGAGGTCACCTCGCCGGTCTCTCGGGGACCGATGTTGGCCACCTGGGAGAAGAGGCCCGTCTTCCGAAAGTCACAGTTCAGCTGAAGGAAGGGAATGTACATGCCAAACCTGGAGCAGCAGAGTGCAGAAAGGTGGTTACCTCCATACCTCCAGCCTTTGCTGGCAGCAGATCAGCACCACGATCCCACCCCCCTCCCAAACGGCACCTGGTACCTACATAAACTCCAGCAAAGAGCTTCATCAATCTCAGCTCAAACACACGCACCGCGCCTCAGATCTTTATGAGGTGCTTCCTCCTGCATCTACCAGAGGGAAGGGAGCTATTCCCATTACTTGTCTGGAAATAGAACTGGCTTCCTTCACGTTTCATTAGTTAACATGATGTGGGGAAGCTGTTTTGATTCTGGAGCTGTTGATTCTCCTCTGGGAGAGGCACCTCAGGACTAAGATAAACCAAAGATTTCTTTGAATACCATGAGAAAAGCACACAATCCTTCTCTGCAACCTAAGAACTACAACTAATGCTTACATTAAAGCTGAAATATGGGTAAAAGTTAAAGATGTGCCCTGCCACCAGGAAGAAACGTGACAGAGCAAGAGGGAAAAGGGTAGTTTAAGTTCTGCTCACAGGTAATCAAGTGCTTTTTTGCTTACAGGCTTCATTTCAACCGAGCAGCACCCACTGCACCGAAGCAACATCAGAAATCACACCTGAGTGACAGAAGAGATACTTACGGGTAACACAGGAACAGGAGATTAAGGAAAGAGTAGGTTCTGAAAAGGTGAATTATTGATCGACACAAACTCCAGCCTGTGCCAGTGAGAACAGCAAACCGAGTGATCACCAGGAAGACAGAGCGTGGCAGGGAGACCTTGCCACTCTGCGAAGCCTGCGGGGAGAGAAGAAAGAGCTGGGCAGGGGGGACACCATCTCACTCTTCCTGCAGGAAGCAAAGGGTAAATGAGCAGCACTTAATCTGCAAAATCAACTGCATGTGCATGAAGGAAGAGCTAGTGAGAGGCTCTGTTCGACTGCCACCAGGAAGGGGAGGGCTTCCATAGGCTGGAATCTGGATTCTCCACCCAAAACCAAGGGTCTTGTTCCTCGAGGTGGAATGAGGAGAGCTCTCGGGGTTTCTCGTTAAGGTCTGGAGTTATCGGTGTGACCAGCCCACCCCCAGGCAGCAGAGACCGACCCACACCGGCTCCTCCTTGCAGAAAGCCAGAGTAATTAAGAGAACAGGAAAAGAGCCAAATACTGTTCTTCACAAGGAAGAAAGGGGAATTACTGCAGTCTAGTTGAGAGTAATTCAGAAGCAATCACAGAAGAACAGAGAGAGTCACGAGCCACGGTTTGAGGCGCCTGTTTCTGTTCTCAGTTCTTCCCCTTAGAAACCATGCCCAGGTTTCTGACTTGGACACAGCACAAACCTCTTCAGAATAGGACAGAAGAGAATGGAACTGCAAAGGGGATGCAGAGCTTTACATTTTGCCTGAAATAACAGTTCTGAAATCTGCTTGGGGACTTTACCTCCTTCACAATAGCACTGATCAGCCGGCGTGCCAGGACGATCGTCGTCACTGTCAGCACGTTGAAGTCGATAAGATGAAAGTTCTGCGGTGACAAAAACAAAATTATTCCACTTTCCATCAGGCAGCAGAAACCCACATTCAACAGAGAAGCTCCCAAATTATTCTCTTCTCCCCAGACTCACTCTTTTCCTGAGAAAAAGAATGTCAAACAGACAGCCAGTGCCCAAAATTTGTCGAATAAGAGTCACCTGAGCAACCCTCCAGGGGTGTAGAGTCACATTTATATAGAAAACTTCATGTCTAAGAAAACAGAATCTGGAATATCAGCAGACACAGCTGCCCTTTGGTGCTTACCAAGGACGTGTGTGAGGGTGGGTGGGAGGGGGGGTACCACCAGACAGTTTTGTAGATGTTGATGTAGTGGACAAAGAGAGCGACGAGGTGACAGAAGAAGAGCTGAAGTTCGAAGAGCACGCTCCTCTCCACAGGCAGCTCCGGGATCTTACAGTGCCGGAGGGGGACGACGGTCTGTGCTGCCAAAGGTGGGCTGGAAAGGCCTGTCCCTGAACCGCTCCTGCCAAGGGAAACCAAAAACCAGCAGTCACTTCCCTGAGCTCAACACAGCCCTGTCCTCCAGCCCACGGACTCAGAGGGTAGGAGTCAGTGGGTCCAACACTGACTCAGAAACCTGAGCTGTCGGTCGTGGTCAGGGGCTGCCACAAACCAGAGGTGTCAGCCTCCCGGGGACGTCCAGGACGACTGTTACAGGCAGACATGAGTGGGAATTTGCCCAGAAAAGCAGCGTTTGGACCCAGGCCAGCCTACAGCACCAGGTCATTCGATATTAAATCCCTTGCGTTGAGTCAGGTTCAAAAGCTGTGGCTGTGTTTAGCTATTCAAGGGGCAACCGGCGGCCCTCTTAATTAATTGGAAGCTTTCAGGCCTCCAGTTGCTATTTACATTTCTAAGAGTGCTTGAACATGAAATACAGAGCAATTAAACACAAGCCCTTTCTCATTCTTCAACTTCTATTCAACTACAGAGGAAAAACAAGTTTAGTCAGGGGTGCATATTCCTGTGTGAGCACGCACACAATCCCAGACAGCAACCCTTTTAATCAAAGGGAAGGGAGTTAATATATACGAGATACATCTCTCCTGATCTGCAATCTCTAAATAACAACAGCCAAAGGAATCTGGGCGTGGGTTTCAAAGGAACTACAGAGCAGAAACTCCTATCGCCAATCCCAAAACGAAACCACAGAAAGTCTCGGGAGTGTGACTGCAGAAAGACTGCTAGCCCAGAGGTGGACACAGCTGGATCAGCCCAGGGTTTTTAAAACAGAAGGCTGACAGCCTAAAATAAAGCCATGTGTGAGGGAAAGCCTTTAGGAACCTGAGCTGTCTCCCCGAAACTCCCAGATTCCCAGGCTGAGAGGAGCGATTCAGCCCCTCAGGGCTGATAAATCTGCCAATAAACTCCGCTCCTGTCCACAGAACCAGAACTGTTCTGCTCCTCCAGTGAAGGGTTTTAAACACAAACACAAAACCTTTCCTGCTTTGAACAGACACACAAGACCTAAGGGTGCTCTTGCAAGAGCAGCAACAAGAGTCTTGTAGGCACAAAGAGCCTAAAGCTTGTTGGGACTCCTGGGCTTGGACGGATGTGTAGGTGAGGGATCTCGGGGGGTTCGGCTACGGGGACAAACCCCTCGGAGGCAACTGGGGCCTGGACCTGTCCTGTGTCACCTCCTCGTGGAGGCTCTCACAGCAAAGGATGTACAAGTTATTGCTCCACCTTCTGTGCCCTTGCAGTAACTTGTTTGAGTAACTGTATCCCTAGAAATTTCTTGGCCCAGGGCCGTCAGCAGGGAGTACGTTAAGACAGATCTAACATTTTCTTTGCAGAGAGTTCAGAAGGCACCTCCTGCTTCAGTATGGCTGTCAGTGCTCTGCTTCTCCTTCCTCCTCTCTACTCAGTCGCAGAAACGCAACCAGCCAGGCTAGAAACTGAAAAAACCAAACCCTGCAGCCTACACATCACCTGATTTAGCCAAAATCTACCCCAGAAACACCTCACCCAACACAAACTTCAGGGCACAGGAGATGCAACAACCAGAATTCAAGAGTCAGGCTTGGGACAAAAATTTGACCCTGTTCTTACTTTCCATCCAATGGTCACTAAAGGCTTTTGAACGCTCCTGGAAACTCATCACGGTCTGATAAACACTTAACAGTCTCGGGCAAATTAAAACCCACCTATCCCAATTACAACACGCAGCACGGACACTGCCACATACAGGGAAAGGATTTCAGCCTGACACAGGGTGTTCACAAACCCCCGAGCCACAGGAAAACCAGCAGGCTGTGAGACGAGGAGACAAGGTGTCCCCTGCCCCAGAGAGGAGGGAGGTGATGGGTTCTATCAGTGTTAGGCTGACGGTTGGACTAGATGATCTGAAAGGTCCCGTCCAACCTGGGCACTTCTATGGTTCTCTGCAGATGTGGAGACTGGGACGTACCTGGTGCGTGAGCGCACGCCCGTGACAGAGGAGCTGGAGGAATGGCTGGAGCCGCCAGCGGCCCCCGGCTCACAGAGGGGATTTCGGCAGTAGGAGGTTCGGTTTGGACCCCGCCGTCCCCCTGCCATAACAACAGAGGGTGCGGGGGGCTCTGCTTCCAGGTGGCTTCTCTGCTCTTCACTGCAGGATTATGTCTTCAGTCCTTAAAACTGAAAGGAAGAGATGTAGAATGAGGGCCCACCTGCCTACCATGTCCCTGACCGGCGGGAAGCGATCGCTCACGCTGCCGCCGCGCAGCACGAAGCGGGATCATGCAACTTCACTCAACCCTTTTCTCCATCTCCTGCATTTGCCACAGGCTATAGATGCGGCCCCAGATAGCTCCCGACGCTCCCGGGACATGCAGCAGCTTGTGAAGGTGCTGTGAATTCACCCCGAGTCCAAAGCCTGACGTAGGCAGGCTCCCAGGGGAGCAAGGAGAAGCTTTTCGTGCCTCTCTCCCAACCCCAGGCAGTTTCCAAGGAATTTAATCTGCATGGCTGTGGTGTTATCCCTGTTTTACAGGCAGAGCAATGTACTTACAGAGATGCTAAACAATTCGCCCAAAGGATTCAGTAAATTGGGGATATTACCTTGGTCCCCTTTTGCCCGATTTTGTGCTGGGATCAAATATTCACAGCTCTTTTAAAGGGACACTGAAAAAGCACACAAATTGGCTTTTTCCTTCTTTGTTCCTTTAAGACGTGAAAAAAGTAACTAGCATTTTTAGGGCATGTGTTGTTGTTGTACATTTGCATGGCAAAGAGCTCAATGAGACGTTAGCCCAAAGTTAGCTTTTCTAGTGCTTGCTTGCCACAGTGTAAACAATAATAACACCAAGGTTTTAAAAAACCTTCTCTGGATCCTGTTTAACCTTAGGAGAATCCAAACAACTCAGGGAAAGGACAGGGTGACAACACACCATTTACTAGAAGTGAAACCTGAGCTGTGAAGAAACTCGGATCAGGTCATATCAATTGCTTAACATTTCTTTTCCTGATGGCTAATTTCCAGTTTGCATCACTTCGGAATTAGCATCTGGAATGAAGAAAATTTGCTGAAGGTTCAGAAACTGCTCTCAAACAAGTTTTGAAGCCTTCCCTCAGCTCCAGAGTCCTCCAGCAAACTGCAGTACCAGCGTGGGGCAATGAGGGATGGGGTATAGGGACTATGCTGGGGTCTAGACCCAAGAAAAACAAAGACACCCCAATATGGGGCCATCACAGGGGCCAAAGGGGCACAGAGGTGGCTGCAGCACTGGGGGGTCTGGGGAGACACACAGAGCAAAGAGTAGAAGCCCCAGTTTGTGCCATGGTAACCTGGGGATGCAGGGTAACTGCTGGTGGAGGGGCTGTGCACAGGGCCCCCCAGGACACAACAAAGGGGCTGGGGGACACCAGATGGCCAGGACCTTGGCGGGAGGTGAAGACAACGGCTTTGAGGTCCAGGACACCATGACAAGAGAGTCTGAGAGAGAAAAGAGGGAGGATGAAAGCGTTGTGTCTGAGGGGAGAACTGTGGGGGCACCCATGGGTGCTCTGGAAAGGCAGCTCAGGGGGCACAGGAGCTCTGGGAGCTGGGACGGGGGCTCTGCAGGAGCAGAGGGGGCTGCGAGGGCTTCGGGGGCACAGGCTGGGGTTGTACGAGGGTGAAGGGGGCTGTAGGAGGGTGAAGGGGGCTGTGCGGGCCCCGGATACCGGCCATGGCCGGAGCGGAGCAGTGGGGGCCGCGGGACCGACCCCAGGAAAGCACCGGGGGCTCCGGAGACTCCAGCGGATACAAGAACCCTGCAGGGGAACGTGTGGGGCTCCGGGAGCGCGCACCGGCGCTGCGGGGAGACACAGAGCAGCGCGGGGGGAGGCTGCGAGCCAGGCCGCGGCCCGGGAGCCGCCCCCCTCACGGCGGCGGCGGCGGGGCGGGGCCGGCTGCGGGCTCTCCCTGAGCGC